GTTAGAACAGAGTCCAGGTTTTCGAGGATAAGCAACGTTTTACTTGTCTAAGAACAAGCGTAAATGAGCTGAAATATGCATACAAAAGTTCAGTACGAGTATATATGGTAAGTATAGGAATAAGCACACAAAAATCATGACACCTGTCTAGATCTGGGTGCTCTGACAGTATTCCAGCCCACATACAACAGTGATATCTGCGTCTAACAATAAACTCATGCCACATCGGCCGTCGCGTGGTGCCATCAGCCGGGTTGCCCTACTTGCTGCATAAGGCAGGGCGGGTAAGCGAAAACAGGCTACTGCTGACGCCTCCTTACACTTTCACGTTTTCCGTCTTCCACCCTCCCTTATGGTTGTACAGCAGTGAAGCATCAGTGTCAACACTGATGTTGCTGTCTTTGATGATGATGATGATGATTCGTGACTCTTAAAATTGTCATAGGTTTTTATGAAACTATTTCATAAAAAACGGCCTCATTTATCTGAGTACAATGAACGACATCGGAGATTGTCGCTCATTTGCCGAGTCGATATCCTAGGTCCTCTCATAATGTATGCATTCTGCAAAAGTCACTTGATACATCACAACCCCATGTTGCATCATCGGCTGCACATGTAACATTCGAGCTAGATACTTTGAACGAGAGATCTGGCTGGATTCAGCTGAGTCTCCCGTCAGAACAAAGTCCGCGTGCAAATGAGAGTAGTTCGGGATCTGTAGGGGTTGGTATCGTCCAGAGTTCGCTTGACCAGATACCAGTTGATAGTCGCCTCTATGCGGTTCCTCTGGCCACGTCTGTTTATCGTGTCTGCTTGTGCCCCAACTGACTGCGGCTCCGACGCCGTCAAAGCAAGTTTTATGAATACCCTGCTGCGGCGAGCTAAAAGCTTAGATATCGTGGTAGTTGCCGGATATTTGAATGCACAAGAGGGACGCTTAGCGTATCTGAGACTCAATTGGGAGGTCGACATGGACTAGACTCAGTACTTACGGACAGTGGGGAACGATTGCTTCAGCTGTGTGCTGATCACACGCTGTTTTGCGCAGTTATAACTTCCGAAAGTGCCATCAGTTACCGATGGTGCGGATCAGTAACTGACTACCGGTCATTTTGGAACACATTTGTGGACTCCGAACACGCACTTTTCCGAGGTCGCTTCTCCCTAGGTTTTCCAGGGCCGCGTAAGGTGCGGACAAGTAGCTTGGCAACTGAGAAACTGGCAGATCCGGGGTTAGACGAATCGTCTTCTAGAGTCTCTTCCAAAGGCTCTACTATTGGACGCGAACTCACGCTGGGACGAGAGTGCTGCTTCTTTGCATAGTGCTGGGCGTTTCACCTGTGACACGGCACCATCAGGCTCACTCAAGCACTGGATATCAGGCCGAACGGTGGCACTCCTTAAATCTCGGATAAATATCCCAGCCCGCCCCGAACATAACTTGATGCGACGAATTATCAGGCGTCAAGTGAAGGTGGGCATGCAAACCGACCGTGATGTTTGGTGGACACATAAAGCCAAGGAAATGGAAAAGGTCCAGAAAACCGGTAATGCCCGAAATCATCCCGTCCTTTGATATGCACTTGGACATGCAGCCACTGAACACGCCACTTACAATCCAGTTGGAGGCTACAGTGTGGCTGTTTTATTGTAGGGCCGTGAGAATTGGTCTGCTCGAGCAGCGAAACTGCCATGTGTTCGACAATTGTTGTTTCAGCACCATATCTCCTGTCGATTGGTTGGTGTCGGTGAATCCGTAACGAGGCGGGTATAAAGCTTGTCACATCGACTTCCACCTGAAGAATGTCTAGCAGCAGAATCTGTGTTGGTTAGGCCATTTATTGCACATGCCGAACCATCGTTTGCCGAAGACGGTGTTGATTTTTGTGTCCGATTCAGAGTGGCTGAAGCAGAGAGGTGACCAACCCTTGACTTGACAGAGGGATACGAAATAGATTACGAAACGCTTGAGTACTGTCGGTGCTGCTCGCCTCCAGGGGTGGGGACCGCGTGATTCCCACTGCACCTGGTTGGGGACATTGCAAGATATGGCTGCCAACCGATGTTGGTGGTGTTCTTGTCAGTTTCTATACAGATTGCCTGAATGAGTGTGCGTAGGTGTACGCACCTCGGAATGATTGTTCCAAGGTAGCATTGAGTGCCTTCCAGTTCACCTTTACTCTTTTCTTTACCACCGAAACCTCAGTGCTGAGCATTGATGTCGTGCAGTTGATGACGACGACGATGATGATAATGGTGGTGGTGGTCATGACGGTGCTGCTGTTGATGCTGATAATAATAATGGCGGTGATTGTGACGATGACGTTGTCGATGATGATGACGTTGACGATGACGATGATGATGATGATGTCCAACATGCATTGCTGTCGGCACGCGACAATATGGTACTGCCGACGCATAATTGAAATGGTCAATTGAAAGGTTAGTTGAAGGCCAGCGAAACGACGAAGCGCGAATCCTTTAAATATCCCAGCAATGGATAAGCGTTCGTTGGATGTCCTTTGTCGAAGCTGCATGAAAAGTTAAAATAAATGCCTTTCTGCCATTGCGATATCGGGAAGGGATTGTGTTACTTCTTTGAGACAAACATTGTCGAGGAAAGCATTACTGATTTGAGTGGAAGTTTCTGAGGAAGATCAGGACGATCTTTTCGCGAGCCCCGTATTGGTTGTTAGTGAATTCAGTTAAGGTTGATGGACCACAACGGAGTGCATCGTGGCGACTTCTGTCGCCAAGTTTGACGGATAGTGACTCGTACCCATTGCTTGATTCATGTTGGTTACGTCCTTCCACTAGGAGGGCGCGCATCTTTTTGCAGGGTTTCGTATATTACCTTCCAGTAAAAGTCCACGGCAAAAGATATCTGAAAAGGACTTCACTGGGTGGTCCTGACAGACTTGTCCCACACCAGGGTCCAAAAAGTTCCCAATAGCCACTCGACGTGTGCACATCTTGCATGCTCACTTGGAAAGCGCAACGAGATGCAGCGATGGGCAAGCGCGTGAACAGAATCCATATGGTTGTTCCGAAACGGCAGTCAGTAATTTACTCACGCGAACTAGCTAATAGTGACGTGGTGCCTGTGTTGTGGGTTGAGTCGCATTCTGGGGCATCATGTGAAGTTAGTAATCTCAGAAACAGTCTGTGGTCATCACATAACTTCAGCAGTCTTTCGTCGTTTCCTACGCGTCTTGATTCCAGCCGAAGACGACTACCCAAGTGAGCTTCAGCAGCCTTAAGTCTGCTCACTTGTGTATTCATTCTCCGAAACCACAACAGTGTCAGAGCCCGTAGTCCATCGCGAAAAGCCCAAATTATCGTAAAACTGCCTGTGGGTACACTAGAGATTTGGGCTACGGTGAACAGGCTCACTCTAACAGACGTGTCCAAGCGGACCGCACGGAGACAGCCATCAACTTACAACTCTTCAGACAGAGACCCTTCAGCTCGATGGCTTAGAGCAGTACTAAATGTAGCAGTGGCTGCTTCTTGATTACGAAAGGTGCGCAACAGGAACCGAGTGGAAACCGATAGAAAGGTCTATTCGGCAATTTTACTTGGGTCTTGAACCTTTGTTTTGAAGAGGTAGCGCACATCAAGAGAAAGCCATTTCAGCGTACTTGCAGAATCAGCTTGTTTCACAATGCAAATTTTAAAGCCCGTCAGGTGATCTGAGTGATGAGATTTGAATAATGAGCTAGCTATTGGCCACAAATGGCGAACGGATCTGTTAGCCTTTGAGAATGACCCTACGGAGATGTCACTAGCAACAAGTTGAACAGAGGAAAAATGTGAATGTGTGAGAGGAAGAAAGGAGGCATCAGTATTAGTCTGTTTTACTTATCCCCCTTGCTTTGTTGTTGTGTTTGACGAATAATGGAGTACGGCAACAACCAGAGTAAGAACGGAAAAGACTGAGGGCCCAGAAGCTAGGCTTTATTCATACCCAACTTTGACACTGAGAGATGAAACGAGAAAAGGTGATTTAGCAGTCAACGATTAAACGCTTTGCGGAAACAGCAAATATACAACATCTACCCCCCACAGAGATAAATTCTCACTGGAGTTCGTTTTCCGATTGATTAATGCCGGACTTCTCTGTCGCGCAATAAATACGCTCGTGTCCGCTGTTCTTACAATCAACGGATTTTCGATCACTGTGAAACATCCACTCGTGTGCAGCGGCATTGATAACGGTGCGCAGTGAAGAACGAATAGAATGGACTGCATCTTTTGAAACGGTTTTCCAACGACTGATTTGAAGACCTTTCGATGGTAAAAAAAAGCCTGATAGCTTTCCACGAAGTTCCATTTAGTCGTTCCACCTGGCGGATCCACCTTGGGTTTTCTGGAGTGGTCCCACTGAGGGCAACGCCTTATTCCTAATGACCTCGCTTATTCTCATCAGAAACGAACGGTGAACCGCGATCCGAATGGACGAAATTGGGCAGGCCAAATGTAGCAAAGAACGGCACAAGACATGATATGACCCTAGAGGACCTTATATCTAGACACGGATAGGGGAACAGGGAACAGGAATACTCGTCCACGACCTTTAATGGACATTTATTTCGAGTAATGGAAGGCAGTGGTCCTATGAAGTCCGTACTTGAGCGTTAAAACGTTTTTGTGGCTTTCATGGATATACCACCGGGTTGTGTGAAGAAACGTTTTAATTTCGCACACCGATGACTTTCCGTAGTGACAAGTCGGAAGTCCTCTACAGAGAATAGAAGATTTTTGACACAAACGAAATGCATCACTCGTGTTGCTCTAGGATGGCGCAAAGTTGCGTGTAAGAGCTTTAGATCCAGGTGAGGTGAAGTGTTCGCGCAGACACTCCGAGAATGTGTCAGAGGCTTTGTTTTCAGTGCGTGGCCTGTAGGTTACGTCAAAAGAAATAGATGGAAACGTCATCCACCAATGTTGAATTTCGTCATTTTTATCTTGGCCTTTTATTGTGTTGTATATCTGGTATGCACTTTGCACCTACAAAGTGTAAGGTCATGCTCGTGGACGTGCAGTTACTGAACACGCCACTTACAGTCCAGGGAGAGGTACTGGAAGTTGTGGAGCGTTTTACGTATCTTGGAAGTTGTATTAATTCTGATTGTAGTGTGACAGATGAGGTGAATGTATGAATCTGCAAGGCTCGGGCTGTTTTTGTTAATTTGAGACACCTATGGCGTCAGAATGGTTTATCCCTGTGTTGTATCTTGCGGTGGCGGAGCTATGGGTTACGCCTGCACTGAGCCTGCCAGACTTCTCGATAGGGAGAAGACAGAGAACTGGGGGCACGCTTGTATTGCCAAGACAAAACATACAGAGCGTCTGCGTTAATATATAGGATGACTAATAGGCCAAATATGGCACAAACAACGTGAGAGGCTCTATTCAGGCAGCGATTGGACTACAAAGCGAGAAAAAAGGTCTATCACCGTTGGATGAGATTGTGAAGCTCAAGGAAATCATGTCCTAGTAGAATATCTGAACAGAGATCGCGTAATACTGAAAACCTGGAAGAGGGATACATGTTTTGCTTATGTTGCTTCCAAGCTGTCTATCAAATCGACAATAAGGCATCTTAAACCTTAAACCGTATCCCGCCTAATGGCGTTTTATGTTGTATCATACTGACCAGAAGGTCCGTATTGGGATCCAATCCCGGCATCTCAGCTGCTCCATCGAAGGTTTAGGCAAACTGACGGTATCTCAACCCGAGTGTTTATTTCGGATGGGGTGCCAGCTAGGCACCGAAATGATGTTACAGCTGAACGATCACCACGGTCCTCTGGGATGATACGAGCTGTATGGTTGACCGAATGAGTCGTGCAGAAGCTCGTCTGTTTAGCCTATTCGGAGTCTTCGGCAGACAGAATTGGATGACTTCTTCGGTTGTGCATTGACCAGTGTCTTTTCCCCACCAACACGAGTTTACAGCATACACATCTAGTATTGTTAGCGTTGTATTTCGCTAGATCATATGGCAGTCAGTTGCCGATTGAAGGAGACCATCTAAGATTTCCGTCCTTTCTGAGCTACGTAGATTATCTCTGACCATATTTTGCGTATTTTGCAATTTGGTTTACACCAGAACTTTGTCGCCCCAGAAGTGTGTTAAGCTGCCAATTCCAGCAAAAATATGGTTGAGCGCTATCGATCTGAGTCAATTTGGGCACTGTCACAAATCAGCCGTAAACACAGTGATGATAAATGGCGTCTTGAAGGAGCTATCCTAGCAGCTTTTTAAGCCCATTGACAGGCGAATTACAACTCACGCCTTAACCGTAATGGTTTGCTTGCAATCAGATAGTACTTTTTGGATCACTAAAATGTTCCAAAGTCCAAGTCCGTTATTTGGATAATCGACGAAATCCCTTTGTTAGGCACCATATTTTTGGACAGCGCTACGAAAAGATACTGGGGCGGAACAGAGGTTAGGTTTATGAAGTACAGACTTGCTCAGCTAACTATTAGAGCATTACTGTAATTTGTCTGGCTGAGGAGGTTCATATTTAACCTTAACAGGGACTACTAACGTGGAGGAAGAAAAAATCCGCCCATACAGTGTAACCGAGCCCACTTCGAAAATTGGCATATTGATTTTCTCGTCATCGATCAGATCGTGTGGATACACAAACACATCCTCGTTTGAACATTTTGTGTTCCAAGAATATTAAGGATGAGTGTGCATTCCGTTTTCCAAAGCTGGATTTTGATCGAGGTAACGCCTTTCGCCAACGACCTAAGCTAAACTAACCAACCAAAACGCCGGGGAGTTTAGCGTCCTGGCTTACTACCTGATCTGAATTTTGATTCCAAGTCCTGTCCGATCACTTCGGCACGACCTTTTTATTTGAGGGTGATTCTTTTACCGATTGTGGTGATCTCCATCCTTTCATTTTCGCTTCTCACTCTCGCCAAACATCACTCCTCATTTTGTTCAGTTTCTTCTGTCTCGAAGAAGAGAAGAGGCGATGATTCACCTTCCTATAGCCACGCCTCACAGTCGAAGCCAAGAGGCTACATTCCAATGTCCGAGCGGCAGCAGTTTGCTCTCTTACGTCAAATGGAAACCAAAGACAGCCCTTCGGATCGTGGTATGTTGGCTGGAAGCATATGCACTAGGAATGGCGAATGTATGATTTCCCGATATCACTAGACCTTACCCGTTCTAACCTAACGGCATACTTTTCTCGGTTTTTAGCGTATACCTTTTTGTAAAGCCAGGGCACATTGTAACCTTTCTCCTTTTTTGTCGAGCTTAATTGAGTGGTAGCAAAGATACATTTTCGCATTCATCCAGTAGAAGTCCAAGCATCCTTATACAATCACGTCTAGACCAACCTGCATGGTCTTTAATTGATTAAACAGTTTTAAAGCCACCGGTTCTACTTCGTAAGTTTGAGTTTCACATTTGATTACTCAGGTTGCTAAGCATTGTTATTGCAGCGCGAGCTTTAACGGAGCGATAATTCATATACAGGAATATCTGTTCCGACATCCTCTAAATCCCAATGCATTCTAGGGACACCTCTTTCTCAGAGACGGATTACGACACCTTCCATTTTCGTAAGGCCAAGTTCCTCTCAAGAAGCGATGTTGTTCAGTTGACATACGTTTGCTTTCTCTAACGGTAGCAGACAACCAAGTCAAACTACCCAGGACGATCGCTTTCATTTTCGAATATCAGATATGCCCGCAGCAACAGCAGTCTTGTGAGAAAGTCTGTTCTGACGAATGATGATTAGGTGGATTGTAAAAAAGCACCGACGTGCTCATGTTTCCATCAATAATTATTTGACATCACAGTTGACCGTGCACTGTGCCTAGTTCTTTGACCTATTCACTAATCATTACATGGCAGTACACACGTTAATCGCTTGTGTCAAGGTACAATTATCCTGTTGACTATGGAACCTTAGAGTCGAAATATGAAAATAGATTGGGATTTGTAGGAAGCTTCATGTTTCCTCGAGTGGAGGAATTTCATGCATTCAAATGGGTGATCCTAGACTCACTACCTATGCACCTCAAATTAACCCTAACGACCAACAAATCTGTACGGAGGCCAGCCGTCCCTAATAACCGAACAGCACATCATTTGGATGGATGTCACGTGAAGGACACGGGCCAAACGAAGGCATCCCTTGATTGGTCAGAATGCCAGCCAATCCGAGTCAAGCACCTGTGACTCGACGCTTCTCGCCCCCTCACGGAGATACTGGCACGACCTTGTGGAACACACTGTGACTACCCTATAAATACAGTTGTACTAATTTTCCTTTGTCTCCATAAAGGGTTGTGTAGAGTTACCGTGCCTTTTGATATACCATAGTGGGCGGAGCAGGAAGCCAAGGGACCGATACAGAGTTTCACTACCGTTCAGCAAGTCATAACAACATGATAACAAATGAAAAAGATCTAGTACTGTCGCGGACCCTCTTTGCAATGACCATGTGTTTTCACGTGTAAATCACGAAAGATAGTCCACTCTTCTAAGTGGGACCGAATGTTTTTCGAGCGACTGTATAGGGAGAGTGTTGTAGCATGAGAGCATGGGATTTCGTGCTGTCCCTAAAAGACTACCTGAACTTCCGATGGATGGATTGTTGACGTAAACTGAATAAACCATGAATTGAAAATTACTACTGCGTAACCCAATAGTTGGAGGGGTCGAATAACAACTTTAACAAAATCGTACATAGATTGAAAAATACAGTTGCGGTGATTTAAATCAAACATAGATGTCGTAACATACGTGCATGAAATCTCTTGGTATTTTTCACAGGCATCATCATGGTTCTTGTTTGTGGGGTTGTTTTTATCCTTCGTACAGCCAGTTCCTTCCCGAACAGAACCATCGCCATTGGTGGTTAAGATCAAGGTTTTACTCAGCTCCCTAGACGGCCAGCCAGCGAACCTTCAACGCTGCTGTGACGCTTAACACGCACTTTCATCTTTCCATTTTTGGAGGAAATACCACCACGAGAAGGTAGCGGATTTCCTCATTAAAGACTACGGAGTGTCAGGCTTCTCCATTAGGCTGACAAGGATGAAAATACACTCCAGAGGATGCTGAGGAATTGGGAAGCATGATCTACACGTGGCTTTGCTTGTTCGCGCCCCAGAAGCATGACAATTTTTGCTGTGCTTCAGCGGGAAAAGGACGCAGCTACTGCTGTAGTTATGGAACGCTATTCTCATAGTGGGCGACGGTTTGTCAGCGCGATTCGAACTACACTGCACTACTTACAGTCGCCTGCATTGCAGCCAACTATCCACCCAAACAGGCAACAGCTCGAAAGAATTACAACTATCCATGTAGAACATATGGCATTACTAATGATGCATTTAATACAACTAAGTTATTCCGGAAAAGCTAAGGAATTTTCACATACCGTCAAATTATCACATCCGATAGTCGTAATCGCCCCAAGGGAGACCTTGATCCGGGAGGTGGCATAACAGCGTTTCCCGTTGACCGCAATCTAGTGTCCCGTTTCCTTGAAGAGAGGTCACTCGGTACAGGGTTGACCGCATGGCCCCTTTCCTCGTACCGGTGTCTCTTAAAAGCTGATGAATCATGAACATCCGAAACTCACTTCATTTCAAGATAAGTCAGTTGGCAAAGATAGAATTGTGAGTAGAGAAAGGTAGCAACACAACGCTCTTGTTCGTGGTGTGGAAAACGCACGGCTGAAAACGAACCGACTATCGTGTTCATCAGCTTGATGCCCATAGGAGCTTCGCTCTTGGCAGTTTCGAAACAATTTATCGGTGGATTTCAGCAGTGAATTTTAATCACCTCGTGTTGCGGCAGTTCTGCACTTCAAGATTTTCTACACTGAATGCTGTGGAATACAAACGTTCGGATGTTATTTTACATGGTAATCTCTCTCCGAACAGGAGGATCGTTCGTACGCGGTGGATTCGCTTCATCGGGAAAACATTCTGGCCGATTCGTTCAAGACCTTCGGCTGCATCTTGCCTTAAGTTTATAGTTTATAGTTTAATATTGTCAACACTTAATCTCACCAGTTTTCTTGGCCCTGAAACTAAGAACGTTTCCTCTTGCGTCCTAATCAGTCGTTTTCATCGTCCTGTAGAATGAAACCCCCTATATTTGATCAGGTTCTTGATCCCCTAATATAGTGTCTTTTTGGTAAGTCTTGTTTTTTTAATGACAAGGCCATATTCTGGAGACGTTTTGCTGTCGACTGGCACTGGTTTACCGAATTCTCTGTTTTTTCTACAGTATATACCAGCTTGGGGCGAGATAGCCCAAGTGGTTAGAGCGTGAATTTACTGACCGGAAGGTCCGTGGTTCGAATCCGACCTCCGCCACTCGACTTCACCTGTCTAGGCTTGGGCAACCTGGCAGTATCCCAACCCTCGTGCTTCCTTCGGGTGGCATGACAGCCAGGCACCAGAAGGATGCTACAGCTGAACGCTAACATTATTCATGTCAGTGGTTTTCCAACATATCACGACCGGGTCAGAAGTAGTTGGGCCCGATAAAACCATAAGTGAACGTCTCTTAGCTCAAATCTGGTGCAGTACTCATGGCGGCGACTGATATGCCGATCATCCTGTTTCGTTAAATACGTCGTGATCATTTAATTTGACTCTCGCACCATTGCGTGTGCTATCAGCGATAAAGACAGTGACTTGGCCTCGGTGACCGAGACCCTATCGACTCATTTCTAGCTTATAGTATCTCGAAAATCTCACCATGGTCGATTCGTTTAGCTTCATCTGACACACCTTATTTGGTGACAACGCTTAGACTAATTTCATTGACTATTTCGCCAAAACGAATGAATGTGCGCTGTGGTTCCTAGAGTGGAACCAAATTCTCGAGTAGTTATTTGTTCTAGGTTAGAATTAATATCCACGTCAGCCACGGTTTAACAATCCCGTTCCGGTGTGATTATCCTACCAAAAGAACGGTAGCACTGAACTTGGGAGATAGCACATATCGCCGCCTTTACAAGTATTTGAAACCCGGTCACCTGGTATTTGAGCGCACGCTATACGCGCCTGCATTATTACGGGAAATCTGTCCATCCTTAAGCGGTGTGGTCCGAATGGTGACTCAGTAACTCTGTTGTGACTGCTAGAATTTCTTGGTCAAGCATCTCTACGGATGCTGTGATCCTGTCTAACGGCTGTACGATCGGTTTAATGGGCAATTCGTCCCCAGGCCTGGATAAGCTCATGCCTAGGATGCTCCGCTGGTTTAATGCTAACGTGCTCGCTGAGTGGAGGAGGATCTGTTGAATTTGTATCCACACGACCCTCCAGTCCCGTAGTTTTAAAGCGTCCGTGTATCTACTCAACTTTTCAATAGAACACTTTTCACATTGTAATAACGCCTAAACAACAGAAATCGTCCACGGAGATGAAGATTATCTATCCACCGATTCATCAAATGAATCTTAGATAAACTATCAGCACTCATTTTTATACACTTCAATAGTTTGAATGATTCTCTTCCTGTCCTAGTGCAATTATTCTAGTTATTCCACATAGAAGGGTGGAAGCACAGCTCGAGTTTCGCTTTAATGGGCGTAATAGAAATCCCTCGCTGTACCGGGCTTTGATCTCCGGGCATACTGTACTGCGAATTAAAATCTCGGCATGGCTGAGGATGTGCAATGCTGATGAACCCCAATAACAGTGAAACCCCAATTCACTCCTTTTCCCTTTTACTGTGGACTAAACAAAATGACCGCGCGTGGTCGGAGGAAGGACTGGAGGTTTAGGCACCCCGGAATGATTGTAGTGACCTAGCACCGCCTGTACCCTTTTCTCCACAATAAGGATTTCAAATAAATCATGGTTGTACAGTAGCAAAGCATCGTTCTTGAGCACTGGTGTCACGCCGTCGATGATGGGGATGAGGATGGATATGCAAACTCCGCAAGTACCGTACACACAAATTTCGGTGGTCGATTTCGCCGATACTTTATGGCCACGTGAAAGGCACACTAGCATAGCTACGTTACTTACGATTGTACATCCGCAAACTATTCTGTATGCTTATCGACCTGATCTACCGAAAGAAAAGTCAGTCATGTAGCACAAAAGCTTTCACTATAACCGTCTTTCATTCTTAGTTTACTCTTGGTTGTTGAGAGCTTTTTTCTCGAAATGGTTAGGGTGGTTACGTGAAAACGGTACGTCGCACATGAGGACACTAGTTATTTCCTGGTTCTCTCGGTAAAAGATTTTCTTTATTTGTTTCCACCCCATTTTTTGGCGTTATGTTTCGCGCTCGTCTTATACGCACAAGCGGTTGTGTTTCGAGTACTCAGCTCTCACTTATACAGTATAGCTTTTAGTGAGAAACCGTGATAGCTTTTACCGAGCAAGGTAAGCGTAACTGGGTGAATGTGTTATTTAGTTGATTATTTGCGTGCCCTGTCCGTTCCTTATCGTCTTGTTTCTGTCCGGTTCCTGGACGTTCTTGCACTTTCCGTTGCCTTTACCACCCGCTTAATCGAACTAATGTTTTTCCCTTCAGACCAAATCCATGGGCCTTCCTCTATCAGTCCGGTAGCTTCTGGTCATCCGAAAGAATGGACAATGAACACTGGAGTTTCGGAAGAGGATGGCCCAACAAGATCAGACTACACTCAGTCATCAACTTCTTCACTATGTGAGCATCCTTCCGGACCAACTGAACATGATCCGCCGGTATCAACCCCACATCATCATCACCACCACTCGACTGGTCGGGATCGATCGAGTTTCTTCTCGAACACTTCGTCCTTACCATCATCGGAGAAACACGGCAGTAACCAGTCTTCGATCAGTATTCACTCAAAGCTGGCTCAATTGACTAAGAGCGGCGATCTCGAGGCCCTGAAACTGCTTGTGAGAGAAGGGTTTGATGTCAATGAGCAGGATGAGCGAGGCACGTATTTCAAACCAGTATATAGGACGTGTGATTCAAACCGCTACGAGAATTGCAGTAATCTTACCCTAAAGTCTTAGGATGCACTTTTTTCTTCAGTGTGAAACGACGTTTTTATGTTTTTCCATAATTGTCCCCATGGATGGAGGCCACTGCAATAAGCCAATCAAAATAGGTCTATTCTGTTATTTTACCGGTGGGCTGAATACTTTGAACTTCAGTGTGACGTTTTTATGTTTTTCCATAATTGTCCCCATGGATGGAGGCCACTGCAATAAGCCAATCAAAATAGGTCTATTCTGTTATGTTATTGGTGGGCTGAATACTTTGAACAACAAATGTCTTGGCCACCAGCCGGCACTCATCTACAGCCCACAGGTGAAGTAGAACCCTGGACGGTGAACGTGGAACCACCTACGGCCTCGGAGGTTTACGACTGCATATGTTCTCTCAAGCGCCACCGAGCTCCCGGTCCGGACGACCTTCCACCCGCACTGTTCAAAGACGGGGATGAAGTAATCAGTCAGCGCCTGTCCGACCTGTTTGCTTGCATTTGGGAAAAGGAGTCTGTCCCAGACAACTGGGGAGAATCGGTGATAGTGCCCATTTTCAAAAAAAGGGGCGCGTGGTGAGTGTGGTAACCACAGGGGGATCAGC